AGCTTTAATTGCTGGTGGAGGTTGTTTTTTCTATTCTTAAGATTTTTATTTATTTTTTATTATGTTTCAAGATAAGTGTAAATTATTGCGTTTCCTGAAACATGTTTCACTTGGCTCCATTTTTTTTTTCATTTAAGACAAAAAGATCTATTTACTTGGACATAACATGTAAATTTTTTTATTGCAAAATCAATCAACAAATAAATAAAAATCGTATGGGTCTGTCATTCCTTGTAGAAATAATCCCCAGCTACATTTCATGCCAGAGTTTTAAACTTAAATCTTATTTTACAGTGACTGAATTCCTGAAAAGCGCACATGTGATGTGATGCAATACAGGTGTGTCACAAAACATTCGAATATCGTTAAAAAAAAAACTTCTATTTCGTTTTCAATCATTTCAGAAAGTGAAACTCATAATTTATACAGATCCATTACACACAGCATGAAATGTTTCAAACCTTTATATATTTTATTTTGGATGATTATGGCTTACAAATAATGAAAAACCAAAATTCAGTGTCAGAAAATGAGAATATTGTGAAGAGAAATTCTCACCCTAATCAGCTGATGAACTCCTGGACCTGAGCTACAAATGTCTCATTCCTCGAGTCCAGCCGCTCCTGAACCAGAGACAACAGCAGAAGTGTCTTACCTGCCGAGGAGACAAAGAACTGGACTGTTGCTCAGCGGTCCAACGTCCTCCTTTCAGATTAAAGTACAATTTTCATGATGTTTGTAAATCAAGGTCTCAGAATCTGGAAGAAGAGGTCCAGAATCCACGGTGTTGAAGTCTAGAGCGAAGTTTCCACAGTGAGTGATGGTTTGGGTCCATGTCCTCTGCTGGTGCTGGTCCACTGTGGTTTCTGAAGTCCACAGTCATCGCAGCATCTAGCAGGACATTTGGAGCACGTCATGCTTCCTTCTGTGGACGAGCTGTATGGAGATGTTGGTTTCACTTGGACTCAACACCAGAGCTACCAAAGGTACCAAAAGCTGGCTGTGGAACACGTCACTTGTTTTTGTAAGCCATAATCATCAAAATAAAAAAACAAATAAAGGCTTGAAATATTTCACTCTATTGGCAATGAATATATGGAATATATTAGTTTCACTTTCTGAAGTAACTGACAAAAACTTAACTTTTTTTACGATATTGTGAATTATTTTAGATGCACCTGTGAGATCTTGCAACATATGATCGTGCTCACAGTAAGTGTTGGGAATGACTCTCAGCTGCCTAAACACCAATTTTTCGCACAAAACCTGTAAAATTGCCTGTGATCGGCTGTTAGATGCTCGCGTTTGATGCGTTATTTGAGCTGTAGTGTCCATCTTGAATGAAGTTGACTTAACTTCAATATACTTTGAGAGTTTCATTAAAGCTCATAGATTTTTATTCCAATTTTAGGGCTCCAGAAAGAACAAATGTACTTTCTGAACCACTTCTTCTTCTTCTCTGTTTGAAACGAGCCGTTTCAGATACAGATGTTTAGAAGAAACTGGCGTTTAGAGGTGAAACTCTCTGCAGTGACAAACGGTAAAGCTGTTCTCTGTAATCTGAACTCAATTAGATGCATCTCTTTGAGCAAGCGAGTTATGATGGCTGGTCTGAGGTCAGTGAGCAGAACATCAAAAGGTTGTGTGTTTTACTGTGAAGGGCTCACGGCCCAAACATTCGAGTCACTGCAATTCATTTATCTTCATGTGCGAAACAGCTTCGGTTCAGCTGCAAACACCAGCGCACGCAGATATTAAAATAAACCGAAATGAACTCTGTTCTTCATGTGTAACCACGTGTGTATGCGTACACACAGTTGTGCCTTCACACACACCGAGGAGCATATTGGTCCTCATCTGTGCCAGCGCTCCATTGACCCATATCAAGCGTCTGCCCGGCAGTCAAATGCCTCTCAGTACGTTTCTGATTCACTCTCTGGAGGTTCATCACTGCGGCTTTCTGCTGACTGAAGCTCCAAATCTGCTCTAAATATCTGCTCCACGGTTTCTCTGCTTAATCATCAAACAAATGCTTCTTTTTCTGAATTGTTCTGCGCTTTTGTTCCATTTCTGACGTGATTCTAAGACGATAGTAAAAGGAAGATTATACAAACGCTTTGCAGAGTTTTAGGCTCAAGACTTTTTTTTTTTAACTGCAACATGAATAAATGCGTGCGGGATCCAGTCTTGGTGTTTTTGCAGGTGAATATAAGACAAAATATATATTATTTGGTGTCTCAGACAAAGGAGATGCAAGACTAACAGGAGGTACGAAGTTTCATGTGTTTCTGTTTGTGTATCTCTGACGGTCTGTTTAAATGAAATATTTAAATATTAAAAAATGCACAGACTGATGATAGTAAACTACCGTATTTCTCAGACTATAAGGAACACCGGATTATAAAGAGCATTAAGCGAAAGAAAACAGTCAGATAAGTCAAACTTTATTCAACTCATTCACGATAACCACATAAGCGCACGTAAGCACAATCAGATTAATACTTGAGGCTCACCATTGATTTTTGAGAAAATTAAAGGATTTAAGTGCGGCTTATAGTCCAAAAAATACGGTATCTGAATATCAGATAATATTTATATTAGATTAATATATGGGTGCAAGTTTAAACGTTTGTTTATTTCTCCAAGTTAATGAATACTTTTTGATTATTCTGAAAATTACAAACTCTAAAATACATTTTTGTGCTTATTAAGTTGATGTGAGACTAAAGATAGTCTATTTGCAATTGGATTTAATTATTATTAATAATAAAAAAGATGCTGAAATCCTGATGTGAATGCTTTGTTTTGACATGGAAGGGCAGGGGTTGAAAGATGAGCTAAAATCAGGGTCATGACTGCACCAAGAGATTAAAAAAAAATCTATAAATCCTCAGTGAGCAGAAGGCAGAGATGGGGGGGGGGGGGGGGTCTGAGGACATAAATCACTGACCTTATTCTTTTAGTGAGGTTCATCTGACACCTTTGACGGCTTATTTCCCAGAAACCTTCAACAACTTAATTATTTAAGTTCACTCAGAGATTTCGGTGGTGCGTTTGAGTTCATGTTTAGCTGTGGAGGTTTAATGAATTGTGCTGAAATATTCTCTGTCAGCTCCACTCTTGATAAACATTGTGTAAAATCTGCTGCTCAATAACTGGAAGTCTCTCCTCTCTGATTGGTTGGTTCGTCCATCAATATGATTTTTAGGAGTGAAATTTTGCCAAATCAGCTGCAGGTCAGACACAGTTAAGACTCCATTGCTGTTTTCTTTGATGAAACATTTGTAGTTTTATACTAAACATCTACATGATATTTGCATACCTGCACGTTTCTAATTCTGTCAGTCTTGACACTTGACACTGTCAACGTCTTAACAGCTGCACTGACCTTAGAAACAGCAAGACAGGTTTAAAGAGTTGTAGTCTTTGGAGGGTGGAATGTAACAAAATTAAATTAATAAATACACCATGAAATAAATAAATGTAAATGTTCAATTTAATAAATAAATGTTCCATTAAATAAATAAATGTAAATATTCAATTTAATAAATAAATGTACCATGAAATAAATAAATGTAAATGTCC